CTTGAGACATAAGCCAGAAAAAGACTCCGTACAGACCTTGAAGGACCTTCAGTAGCAGGCTAAGAAGTTTAGACTGTGTGCATCAGGAATCAGAAAGCACCGAGGGTTCCCTGAATCCCTCCAAAAGTGGGTACAGCACACACAGAGGTAGCAATTAGCAAGGATCAGACGAGCGCTTGTTAAATGAACATACTAGATCAAACCAGAGGAGAGAGACGATGAACTGTATCTCCCTTGTGCATTCTTGGGGCTTTCGACCAAAGAATGCTTGGGTTTAAAAATTCAAAATAGGACATGAAGAATGGCTGCTGCCTCAGGGGGCACCCAAGATGGTCAGCTGGCTCCCCAGAGACTGCCTTCCTCCTCCTTTCTCGGGAGGCAGAGGCGGCTCACCTGTCTGCCAAAAAACATCTGACACAGAACACAGGAGCTTCAGCGTCCTAGGAGACTGACCTTAACAAAGAAACGAAAGCACGTGAGGAAAGGCAAAATCCAGGGAAAGGACATTTGTAGGACAAGGTGCCCCTCCTCCTGGAGCGGACACCTGCTACTGACTCGGAACGCAGGAAGGAGCAGAGCTCGCCGGCAAGAAAGAAGCTAAGCCACTAATCCTCCAAGGTCCTCGCTGTTGTGGAGAAGGGCTGAAGCCACACTGCCACATCCTTGCTGGGAACGAGAAAACCCACCAGCAGGTCGGTTAACGGTGGCAGCCGAGATGACAGCTGCAGATCATCCAAGATGGCAAGATGTTCAAATGACCCGACCCACAGCAGCAAGGGGAGGCCAGATGCCGAAAACTCACCCTTCGCCCTTGAGAAGCTGCCAAGAAACCACTCCCCCAGAACAGGAGGTGTGCGTGTAAACGCTCAGGCTGCCATTGCACCCATCTGGATGCACGCGCAGCAGAGAACCTTCCAGAGCCCTGAAGCCACATCAGAAGACAAGACGGGAAGAAGAAAACCTGGCTTCTAGCTCCATCCTGCCACAGCTTAACTGTGTGACCTGCAGCAACCAACATAACTTTACAGGGTAGCAGCCACCTCTGCTGAGAAGGAGGCAGACTGGATTCCACTCATTCATTTAATTACTGAATGCCAACCGTCAACAGCTCCCTGCCAACAGCTCCCTGCCATCAGGAAGCTTGCATTCCAGTTAAGATTTTCCTTTGGCCAGCTCACCATTGTGATTTTTTTTTGTATTCTACTAAAATAATTCTATGATGATATTATCAGCAGATATTTGCTGGGTGCGACTTTGGTACCAAGCTCCCAGCAAGGAATTCTGCATTTATCTTTAAAACGTCTCCACGTGGTAGGGACTCTATTTACCTCTCTCGGACAGTGGAGGAAACTGAGGCTTGGAGGGGCTTAAGTGACTTGCCCAGGGCCATTAGCTGTGACTGAAGGCAAAGAGAAACAGGCTGAAGAAACGAGATCTCCCTGGATCAGCAGATAAGGTTCTGGCTTCTAAAACTTAAGGAAGGAATTGGCGATGGAGAGGAAGGGGGGAATGTTTTCTTACACACAAGGATAATTAGGACAGATGGTGAGTTACACCCAGACTAAAGTATGCTAAGGAGTCTCCTGGTTCCTACACACATGAAAAAGAAGCCCCAAGCTGGAGCAAAACTCTTCCAGGCAGCCAGCACTTCATTCAGCCCAAAGGGAACAAAGAAAGGATAGGGAATGATCGATCCCTGTCATCATTTCGCCAACGGCTCCAAATTAAGTCATCTTTTTAGAGGAGCATGACCATTTTAATTTTTAAAAAGATGAAGGGGGGGAAAAACTCTTACATATTTTACAAAATGAAATAATCATCCGGAGAAATAGGAAGACGAGGAAGGGGCCTATTTTCTTCGCCTGATCAAAATGTACTCCTCTAATTAACGGCCACTAGTCTCCGAAGAGTCGACCCTCGACTAGTTAATAAAGCTCCATTATACTTCACTTGAGATGGGAACATTTACATTGCAAAGGGGGATAGATGAACGACGGGATTCCAAAACCCTTCCTTCGGTCGCTCATTAAAATTCTGGTCAAAACAGAATTTTATTTATACGAGACATTAAAGAATATTATGACAGGACTAATATGAAATCTGTTCTTCACTGCCACGGATTTTCTTTCGTATTACGTTACAGTTTCTTTCCACCAGTCTTGTTTTAACACCTCCACGGAATATTTCACTGGCGAGTGTTCGCAAAGGAGGAACAGCCAGGAAAGCAGAGAAATGAATTTTAACTGAAACGCTCGCTGACATATCATTTACAAGCTCCTCACCCCGTCGGGGAGGAGGCGCACCATGCACCCTGCCACCGTGACCCTGACATGAAGACGCAGAAGTTTTTACTGAAGAGAGATAAACAATACATAAATAAGGCCTGAGTGAAAAGTTCTACATTCCTGCCAGCTGGGTTTTGGCCCCCAACACTAACTGCAGACTGAAATACTGGTAGCCAGGCTCAAATTTTATTGGAGAATAACCGCAGACAAGGAAGGCACTTTCTCCCGACTGTCCCAATTCCCCAACCACCACACAACCTGGGCCGATATTGCGATGCCTTCCTGAGGTTGAGCAACTCCAGAACCATCTGAAAGGCTGGCCCAAGGGTTTGGATGGAGAGATACTACGTGACATTTATCAATGAGGAGATAACGTCAAGGAGGGAAGGGAAACCGCCTAGGCCCAAGAACAGGGAACTGAGAGTCCTGAGATTCGGGCTGTGGTTCCCCGAAGCCCAGCCCGTCAACCTGAGTTATCTCCAGTTCCATAATCCAGGGGCCATAGCCCAAGGTACCCCCCACAGGACCACACACAGGCAAGGGGTCCCGTTCTGGAGACAGGTGGCCTGGGTGTGTCTTTCGGACCTCCATTTGTGCCCCAGTTTTCCCATCTATATGATGGAGTTAACACGAGTACCCACCTCATAGGGCTATGTAAGGATTAAGTGGGATTAAGACCCATAAAACCCTTGCAACACGGCCTGACACATAAATTCAATTACTCGATCTTTCATGGAATCGGTGTGAGGGCCTAACAAAAATAACACTAAAAATAGCCAGTAACACTCATATGGTATTACCATGCCCCAGGCCATTTTTTTTAAAGCATTTTGCCTTTATTAATTTATTTAATCTTCAGGAAAAACTCTACAAAATGCAGAAAACTAAGGTTCATGGAAGTTAAGGGGTCTGCCCAAATTCACATGGCTAAGGAGTGGCACAGTCAGTGACAACCCTAAGAGCGAGAAAACCGACACTATAAATGGCTGATGATGATAATGAGTAGCAAGGCCCCTGCCACATACCATGCTCTTCACAAACACCTCCTGAGGGAGCTATCATCATCACTTCCATTTTACAGATGAGGAAACTAAGACAGAGAAAAGGTGGTCTGCCCGGGGACAACAGTCTCATGCCACGGGGATTCAGGCTGCAGCTGGGATTCAGAAGATCAACGCACGGCAAAGTCCTTTGCAAAGTGAAGTGTGCCATAAAAAGCCAGGTATTATTATTATTAAATCCCTAGCGCTCCGGGGAAAGATATCCTTCCCTAAATGATTTAATGTTAACTCATATCTCTAAGTCTGTCGGTTCACTTATAAACAGCTCAGTCTTGGGTTTGGGGCTTGGGGGGAGAAAAGCACACTTTGACAAGTTTGAGAAATGCTCTGTCTCATTTTCAAACTGAATGCATCACTGAAAAACCAAATGGTGAGTATGTTAGAATACTGCTTTCCTAGCTTTAACGTTGGGGGAGAGGAGTTAACAAAGGGGAGAGGAAAATAGGTCAAACTCATGGTTTGACCAAGTCAGGGATTTTTCCAGTTTCCCTCTAGGGTAATCTGATCTAAGTTCTGAGCGATCAAATGACTAACCTGGAAATTTGAAGATTCACCCTTATGGAAGAAACAGCAATTCTTCCAAACCCAGGAAATGCTGCTCATTCTGGGAAGCCTTCTGAATGTGAAAGACCACTCGTGGTTTGGAAACTAACTAAAACAGTTAAGACAACCCCCAAATGTGTGCTAAGTACAGAAATAATCTAATCTCTTTAGTTCATTAACTCCTATCATTTGCTTAAGCGTTAGGAAGAAAAAAATACCTTAAGAAAATATTTCATTCTATTTACTGAAGAAATTGCATTTTCTTTTCGAGAGAGAGAGAGAGAGAGAGAGAGAGAGAAATCATTAGCAGCCTTTAGACCTGAAATTCTCAAAATATCATCCACCTATATTAATATGCAAAACCTTCCTCCCTTTACATAATTAAAAGGTTCCGCTTCTGGGAGACTATGCTTAAAGAAATAAACCAAATTTGTTAAAGCCATAGCCCTTTCCCTTTATGACTTATTTAATACAAATCAGAAGCTTCAACTTTTTCCCCTTCCGTCAAAGAATGTTAAATCCACAAAAAGCAGAAAAAGTATTTCTTGCCATGTTATATGAGGAACAAAAAAGTATAACTAAAAGTGAAAATCTAACATGTAAGCCATAAGCCCTTCAAACTGAACCTAGGCTTCGTGCAGCTGTGTTCTTCTCCCAGCCACACCTGGCAAGCTCGGCAAACACTATGTTAACTACACACTTCTAAAAAAGTGAAGCCCCATCTCAATTCTCTCAGCGAGTCTTGTAGTACCACTCTTACAAGGTTACAACATTTCCAGAACTTCACCCAGCCACCAACACTTACGTAAATAAGCAGCACTGTTGGTTTCAAGTGTGCCCTGATTTATCCAACCAACCTGAAACGAAGACGTCCACTGCTTCCTCTGAGTTAGGGCTGTGCGGATCTATTGAAGATGTTTTTTTCCAAGAAAAGATAAGCTGTTTACTTCAATTCTACTCCTTGCCATAAACTCCAACTTCTAAGGCCACAAAAGAGTACCCTCCAAAAGAGGAGTCACAAGGAAATGTTCGGCTTTTCCTGATACAATCTCAGCAACGCTTAAAACATAAACACAATGCATGCATAAATATTGCAATAGACAGAGCCATGTGCTCTCACGAAAGATCAGACTTGTCCCTGCTCCCAGGTGGATGCTCAGAACCCACCGTGGGATGGCTAACTTGGAGCTGCAAGTTCATCCCACAGAGCTCCTTGCCTGGACTTTTCACCATCACATGCTGATACCCTAAAGGAATGAACGGCATATACCAGATTTCAAAAGTTCATTGCCAAAGTACTGCTTGAGACTTGAAATCCTGGACAACCATCTCTAAGTGCTAAAGTCTTATCAGCGATTCTTCTACTTACCTTGGGTTGCGCTCGACGAGGAAATGCAACTTTGGGGTCAATCTGGGGAAAAAAGTGGAAAAGTAGGAGTTAATGTAGTACTTTGAGGAGAAGGAAAAAAAATAGGATTAATCACCTAATTATTAATCACTCATTTCTCAGGCTTATTACCCGGCTTTTAATAACTTCTCGGGCAATTCAAAAGTTCCTTCAACTTTGATCTCAACTTTAACCATCCCCCTCAAGATATAACTAATACAGCTAGCCTTTCTGAAATGTCTCGCCATGCATTTCAAGTGTGTGATGTTCTTAATAAACCCAGATCTCACATATTCTTATTTAGGCAAGGGCTTCTTTTCCCACAGACACTGAATATTAAATGGGACCTGCACCTAATTTGTGATGCATGCCTGGGAGAAAAGATGGGAGGGAACATCATCATTTGGGGAAAAAAATCATAACCTGAAAATTAAATGTCAGTATTTTCTAGCAGTAGGTAGTAAGATGGCATTTTTTCTCCCTGATGAAAACTAAACAACACAGGAGGGGAAGGGGGTTCCAAAAGTTTTTTTAAATCAAGAATATCCAAAACACTCTCCGTTGACATCCAACACAATTCAAGCACAGTTCTGCTTGAATCGATTCACTAGTTTCAGGGAAAGTACCCAGGATTAATCGAAAAGATCATTTATTCTGTAGTTAGACCTCTGAAGTTTAAAAAATAATAATTTAAAAAGAAAAGGAAGCGCATGAACTAAATCTACCTGGATTTTACCTAAAATTAGAAAAGAAAACCCATCACAGGGAAAGGTTAAAAAAAAAAAATTACTGAACAAAAGAAGTTAGAGTCTGTGCAACAATTAAGGGAGTCCCCTACTCCAACCTCGATTTAAATGGAAAAACAGCCTCCATTCCAAATCAGACACTTGCAGAGCACATGATTCTCAGTCAGGGTCTAGCTTTTACAACTCAAAACAATTCCCACAGCAGCTTTTCAATCTAACAGGCTGATTTGACGGAGCAAAAGTTATTGCACAGATAAAAAGAAGAGAAAGGGAATTGTATTTTTTTAAATTTCCATTGTTGGTTTTCATGGGATTTCTAAATGTCACAAATCTTTGGGTACGAGTCAACACAGAGGGCACCAGGAACATGGCTACAAGTTATTTATTTATAGACTTTGGCTTTCCCATTAAAATTTTCCCTTTTTAAAAAGGAATTCTGCCATGGTAGGAACAAAAGAGTAATGCTTTGAGAAAAGTACTGGGTGGGGAGGTGGGAAACACACCCTAGGTGACAGGCCATTTGTTCCCTGACTTACATGGCCTAGAACCCCCAACCAGGAAGACAGGCAAGGATCTACCGCTTTTGTTAAGGTAGTTGAAAGACCTAATGAAAGTCTTTCATTGTGTTTTCTACCTTTAAACGTCACCTGAGAAATGAGAGATTACTTTTTAAAAACTAAAATAGACAAAAAAAAGAAATCTCTGAGCTAGGAAACTACCCTTTCATACAGATTAACATTACTGCATCTACAGGTGTGTCCAGCACTGGCTAGAGCTTGTCTACAAGAGAAATACAACAGGTGTGGATTTTCCATTCTGTTGACCAAATGCAAGACAGAAGCGTCCTTTCATAAACACTCCCCAAAGGATTTTTCTTTTTAGCTGATCAGCACACACATGTAATTGTGGGGTAACAGGTGAGGGGCAGGTCCACAGAAGGGCCAGGAGTGGGAAGGAGTCAGATGGAATGAAGAAAAAGAAGCACTAAAAAAAAAAAAAATTTAAATCACAAAACTAAAAAGCCAATTCAGAACTCCTGTGGTGTGTGCCGCAGTATCAGCGAATGAAATCACGATGATGAGAGTTCTCCCATGTGCAAAGTTTACACTCTGAGAGCTCTAAAGGAGAGGAGAGGTCAAGTTAAGCATGGCGAATCCCAACCGTTTGCACATCCCTGTCAACTATTTTTTTTAAAACAAACAAAAAGAAAACTACCAAAAATTAAAACATTAGTTAGTTAGGTACAGCTCTACTTACTGTATCTACAAGTCCTCTAGGAAAAGACTAGGGTACTATTTTGGATGTGAAGGGCCGTTACCTAAACAAAGCTTTTAAGGTAACAGTAAACAAGATCCTCGTTTCCATGTCAATAAACCAACCGCTTCTGCCTCCTGCACTGAACGTTGAAACAAAGTCAAAAGCTAAGTTATACTAAATAATGGCAACCCAAACATGTGTACAAACAAGCAGGGAGGGAAAACTGTTGGCTTTGCACCTGAAACTGAGGGATCCAACCACCCGCCACCACAGAAACCAAGCAGTATTTCTCCCACCCAATTAGGGAGAGGGGGTGAATAATAAATTCCCAGATTTGCTTTGAAATGATTTTCATCCTGAATTTTACTGGCTTTTATGAAATGTCTGGCCATGAAGTCAAGGACAGAAAAATTCTTCAGACATCCCTCATTACCCTACAAATGATTATTCCTGAAATTAAATTATCAATAAGTACAAAAAAGCCCCAGCCGAAAGCAATGACGAGTCTGGTACAATTACTAAAGCCACTAAGAGTCTTGGGGGTGGGGGGTAGGGGGCTCTTTTCTGGGGGAGGGGGCACCGCATCTGATCTCTTTGACCAGAGAAAGAGGGTGAATTTGCAAAATCGATTCAAATACAGGGAAGGATGCCAGTTTCTTTTTTTTCCCTCAACAACGCCAAAGGGGCTTGAAAGATCCTCTCAGTCCATTCATTTCACAAAAGAGAAAACTGAGAGACCAAGAGCAACTTGACCAAGTTCAGAACAGGCAGATGGAACCAGAACCCCCTCTCTGGCCTCGTCCCACTACCTAACACAGAGAAATGAAGTTCCAGGCAGCCCAGCCCTGTCATTGTAAGACCCCTACTTGTGGCAATTATATAAAAACTGCGGGTAAATTCTTGTAGACTTAAAGGGAAGAGAGGTGAGGCAGGAAGCCAGCTCAGGAGCTAAATAAAACCTACAACACCCCCCGCCTTTACATGTGTTATTATATACAGACACTCTTTTTCCCCTTCCTCTTCTGACCTCTAACTTGAGTCTTTTCCCTCCTTCAACTCTGGATTTTAAAAACTTCTTATCCTATAAAAGTACCCACAATCAAATGAAAAGGATCTGAGAAAAAAAAAAAAGGGAAGAAAAAAAATCACTTTGAAACCCCAAGGCCTTATCAGCCTTAGATTTCACACCATCTGGAGTCACCCACTGGAAGCCTGGCTTGGCTATGCCAGCGTCTCTCCTTCCCTTCTCAAACGGCACTCCAAATCCCAAGTGCCCCGAGAGGAACCTGTTGCCTGGACCTGTAATTATCACCCCCTCCCCTGCGTCCCACCCTGGCGCCCCCTCAGCAGTGAAGCCGGCTGTGCCTTCTCAAAGCCCATTCCCACAGCCACAGTTGGTAAGGGTGTGCTGGGCTCAGCTGACAAAGAAAAGTTGCATTTGCTCTCTGATGGAGTTTCTCTGCCTGGTCCCGTGGCCGACAAGACAGCTTCTCCTGGAGCGCGACCCCCTCCCCACCAAGCCCAAGAATGGCAGCCTCCGAAGCTGCCGTGGGACCGGCTCTAAAAAGAAAACCCCAAACCCAGCCGCTGCAGCAAACTTCTGAGCCAACTCATTAGTCTGATATAAAAGTACCCTGCTCTAGCACAGAAGCAAAAAAAAAAAAAAAAAAAAAGAAAAGAAAAAAAAGGCGCTGTCTCTTTAAATAGGGCTGTCAATGCCCAGATCGTTCCTGAAAAGGGGCGAACAACAAACAACATCAACAACGATAGAAAGCAACCTACCGTCTTGGAATCTAACTCATGGTGGGGCTGACCTAATACTTTATCTACACTTGCTGGGTCTGCGAACGTGACGAAACCGAAGCCTCTGAAAGGAGACAAAGAGGGAGAAAAACAAACAAGAAAATGTGACACCATTGAAAGCAACAAGGAGTGAGACCTATTGCTGAACAGGGAGCAAAAGTTGCCCTCCACGCACCCCCACTCCCACTGGCCACCCCCAATTCCTCTCCTGCCTACAGCCCTCCACCTAGCAAGAAAAATCATCAAGGTTAAGGGGGGTAGTAGAACGGGGGCAGGCCGGGTGGAGGTAACTTGGAAAATGCTGGTGCCTCACTCTTTGGACACCTCAGTTTCCTCTCCTCCTCCCCTTCCCTTTCTTAACGCTTTGTTTTATTCCGAAGAAAGCCCGGCACTTAGAATGAGATTCGCCCACCTAAGAAGGGTCTTAAGAGTTTGGGGAGCTGTGGGTATAGAGGAAGCATATTAAAAAAAAAAAAAAAAAACTATATGAAAAGTGAATGAAGCTGAATGTCATTTTAAACAGAGGAAAAGAAGCCACGGGGAAATGACTTAAAGAGGAGAGATGGGTATCTCTGCATCCAGAGTTCAGCCGCAATTAACAATAACCTCCGGGGTTATGGGGGGCCAGTGGGGAGGGGAGAATAGGGCGCCGTTCGAGATGAGCCGGAGCCCCATTCTAATCCGCTTAGCTACTTCCGAAGACACCTCCAAAAATAAAACTTAAACTTTGTTCTAAAATAAAGACAAAATCCAGAAGGGAATGGTTTACCTGGAGCGTTTCGTAGTGGGATCTCTCATGACCATACATTCTCTAATTTCTCCAAATTTGCTAAAATAGTCTCTAAGGCTATCTGTAGAGAGAGAAAGAGAGAGATGGGGGGGGAGGGAGAAGGTGTGGAAAAAAAAAGCAATGCAAATTTTGATCAAGGACAAAAACCAAAAGTAGTTTTCTGTTGTTATTCTGTTTTGTTTTTGCATTTTTTGCACACGCGGGGGGAATTCGGCAACAGAGGTCGCGTAGAGGGCTCGGAAAGGATTTGCTATTAAAAAAAAATAACCTTGCACAGGAGAAGTGGGGAGCCAATGGGGGGGGCTCCTACACCGGGATAACAAAGAGCAATAAAGAAGCCAAGAAGGGGGGGACCCAGGCGTCCCCCCCTCCCTCCCTTACCTGGTGAGGTCTGCCAGCTCAGTCCACCGATAAACATTTTACTAGAGGGAGAAAACATAACAGAAGTGAGCACCGATGTCAGATCGGCCATTTTGACGTGTAACTTACAAAAGCTAAAAGGAAAGCGGGGGGGAG